AGGGATTACACAAAGGAATTTTGAGATGACGAAAGTATTTTTAATTTTAACATGAAAATTGCTTTGCACACGGATTATTCGAAACAAATACTCAATATATTCATGGACAAAACTTTATTTTATTAAAAGTACTTCACTAAGAAACGACTTTTTGTATGTGAAAGACTTGTAATATTAACTGAAAGACTGCCAAATTTCGTTGAAGATATACCCAATATATAGAGAGTTATAAGTATTAAAATTTATGTCAACTTTAGATGAGTACAGAAGGTCACGTGACTCGGTCAAATTGACCGACCCCGTGTCAAAAGATTTAAATGATTTTAATTAGTTAAATAATGCACTAAGGAACATAGACTAATAACATACTAAAGCAGAAAATTTCCTCTAACAATTAAAATTTTTCTGGCTTTCTAACTATGCGACAAGAACCATTACAAATTCATCCAAATGACTTGTTACATTTCCTGTGGGAAACAACAACAACATTGTATATATTTATACTATTAAGAAATATATATATAAAAGCCTTTTTATTTGGACAGTTGGCAAAAAAGAAGAATATATATTTTAAATTTTGACAGTAACTTTCTGCTTTGGTGAATGTAACATATCAATTGTGTCTTTGATGTTGATTGTTTGGTAGATTTTCTCCAGAATCGAGAGACATCAGCATTTTCTGTACAACCTGTTTTTGGTAGAAGCTCTTGAAATTTCTGATCATGCCCTAGTCCATTGGCTGCAGTTCTAATGTTGTATTTGGTGGGAGAAACAAGAGTTTTATTGACTTCCAATGTTAAAATGATGGCTTCCTAAACAGGAGTTTTCTTTGGCTCATCATATTAACAGTTTAAATGCTTACGTTTCATGCCATCTCATGCCAATGCGAAGCAATGAATCTATGTGGTCAATCCTTTTATGGTTTTCTGGCTTGTGTTGTAAAAGAAATGAATGCTGTATGTGTGAAAACCTATTGTTTTATTACAGAAATCAGTTTGCTGTAAACAGGGTTTTGTAGTAAGCAGCAATGTTTATTTACAATGATGTCAA